TCTGTTGGATCTGACTTTTCTTTCCCAGTTATTAAAGAAGGATGAGGAGGACTCATTTGATTTTGTGGCCGGTTCTTTAAAAAGGTTGATGTTTTATTTGTTAAGCCTAACAAGTGTAGTAGGAGTTTCATAAGTCTGACATACTTACGGTGCTCCCCATGTGCTACTATCACTTGCTGTTCTATCAAGATGGATGTATTTATGCCATGAAATACACAAAGTAGTTTTAAGAACATTGATCTTGAGAAATGAGTGAAGGTGATAGAAAATCAAGCACGCTGCCTGTGCTCTGCTGTTGTGGAATTTCTATTCTTGATGGACTTACTTGGCACTTTGTTACTAATAAGCTCTGTTACTGAGGAAGGTGGAAAATGGAAGCAACATGTATTTCCAAGTCAATTTGGCAACAGTGGTTGGTTGTTAGGTTTTGAGTTTTGTTTTGTTTTTTTCTTGCTTTAGTTTAAACTCGAATGCTGAGAAGCATACTTCTCCCAGGCCTTACAGCATCTATGGCATAATTCAAAAATAACAGTGCAGAAAATGAGAGATAAAGTATGCACTCTTTCTGTAATATTTAGTGGAACTTTCGTTGTTCACCTTTGAATTGCAGATTCTCTAGCACTGAATAATCTGTATCTAAATGTAATGTTGTATTCAGTAAAGCAGTGTTGTTTACTTGGATTTGAATACCTGCAGAATGGAGACTATATTCTCTTGTTCCTGCTCTAATCCTAAGGCCTGTGTAAGTAAAGAGAATGATTTGCTGAAGAGGAAGAAGCAAAGGGAAATTGTCTCCTTTTCTCACCAAGATATTTATTACTCTGATGTTGAGAAGCTACAGTAAATTCAGCTGACGTAATATAGCCAAAATTTAGTGGTCTCTGAATTGAAAAAAGTAGATATAAATCAAATGTGCTTCCTAAACATCTCCTTCAAAGACAGAAGGTGGAAAAGGATCTGAAATGCAGGCACCCTAGGACCAAGGAGCAAGATCATGAAGTATCCTTTTTTTCACAAGCATCTGTTTATCCCCAGCTGAGATTGAGCCTGGAAAATATAAGCACCTGCTAATAAGCATGCACAGTGCTCTCCACCACCACCCCACCCC